CAGCTTTTTTACAATGGCTCTCCATTCACCCAGTCAGTAATTAAATATTTATTGGCCTCCAAATGGTTGGTCTGCATATTTTTTCTGCCTCTCTATTTACCCCCCCCCCCAACCACTACACACACAGATCTCCCAAGCAGCACCATTCAGATACTGGCAGGCGTCCCAGCTATCACCATGGTTACCAGCCTGTGCAGCAGGTCTGGAGATGTGTGATTGACAGGGACACAGAGACAGAGATAGACAGAGAGACAGACACAGAGACTGACAGAGAGGGAGACAGAGACAGAGGCACAGAAAACAGAGACAGACTGGGACGTGAGGAATATATAGACGGACAGGGACACACAGATGGACAAGCACAGACACCCGCACAGAAAGACAGACACCTAGGCACACAAAACCTGATGGACAGGGTAAGACAGACACACTGAAAAAAGGTGCATACCAGCACAGTCTATCTCCTTTTCACCTCCTCTCTCTCTGATATGGGATTAGTAATATGTTATCCTGCGTGTTGTGTGTGTGTGCCTCTATAATAAACAATGCAAGAAATGAAAGAGAGGGCGAGAACGAAAAGGATGAATGAATGGGGCTGTAATCCTCCGTGGGCCGCAGGGCGTGGGAGGGGAGAGCTGTTTACTCCTCTTCTTTCTGGACAATCGCTTTGCGTGGGCGTCAGCGAGTGCAGTGGTGTGGGTGGCAAGCCTGCAACGTCTCTGCAGGCAGAGATGTGCCTTCCTGTCCCGAGACCAACTTTAACACACTGAACCTGGGAGACTCAGGCAGGAGGAGATGCCAGGAGATTTTTCTGGAAGGTTCGACCACATAGGAATAATAATAATAGGAGTGCAGGTTGATCCTACAGTACCTACTGATCCTACAGTACAGACTGATCCTAAAGTAAAGACTGGCCCTACAGTACAGACAGATCCTACAGTACAGACTGACCTACAGTACAGACTGATCCTAAAGCAAAGACTGGCCCTACAGTACAGACTGGCCCTACAGTACAGAGTGACCTACAGAACAGACTGATCCTAAAGTAAAGAATGGCCCTACTGTAAAGACTGGCCCTACAGTACAGACTGACCTACAGTACAGACTGGCCCTACAGTACAGA